CGTATGACTAATAGAAAAAATTTTATGAAACAAATTGTTAAAATGGTAATTATTTACTAAATTAAATCAATCTTAATTGCTTACCTTCAAGAGTTAACAATAATCACACTTATATTTGTATTTTAGGTTAAACAACAAGAATTAACTGAGAAGAAGACAATCAGTAAATATTGAAAAACAGAAGAATATAAAAATCTTTTGTGGAAATTCAACTTATTAGACATCGATAGCTTCATTAAAAATAATAGTGGGGAATTACACCAACTTCAAATCGATGGACTCAATAATTTATTAAGTAGTCTTGAAGAATTTTTTTCAGAATATTTTGAAAATAGAGCAACTTTTTTAAGCAATGATCGAATTGAAATATATTCTTCTGTTTCTGTCGAAAGTACAGATATTATACATGCTACAAAAAGTTTTTACAGAGAGCGAATGTTTTCAAACATGTCAGTAAGTGGGTAAAAAGAAGAAAATAAAATAATTTGGTATGGTCAGTTAATAATAAATTATAATATATATATTATACTGGGTATATTAATTGATAAACTTATCTAATTAAAATTTGTTTAAAAATAAGGTGTTATTACTTTTCAAATATTACAGATCCAGAGTAAAGGAACTGATTAACCTTGTTTTAGTTCATTGGTATGATACATTTGAAGAAGAAGAATTATGGGGATGTTTAAAAGTAGAATTAATTGATCATTATAGTTGTATACTGGTAGAAAGTATAAATAAAACTGTTCACGTAGTTCTAAGATTTGGTAAAATGAATGAATATTTAATAAACAACTATATTTTTTAACAATTTTAAGGTATATATACTGTACAAACAAATATTACACAATTAAAAACATATAAATAGCAAATGTCGCTTCATTTTGGATTGAAAAAAAAAAAAATATCAATTATATAATATATAGATAATTAAAGATTTTCATTGCATTGAAATATAGTAAGTAGATTTTTTGAAGTAGGCTTTAAAGAACTTGACAAAATTATCAATACTGCAACTTCTTTCTATAACATAGCCAACATTCAAGTCAACCCTTCTAAATCTATTCTGATATCTAAATAACAAAAGGTTGATTATTTAAGTAAATTTAAACAATTTTATTATATATTTTAGATCTACTTAATAATAATATTTTATATCTTTTATGAATAGCAATGAGCGTTAATGAATTAATCTTTCAAGGAAAATCCTATTTTACCATGGGCAATATACAGGAGCACTTATTAATCTAAATAAAAAGAAAGAATATAATATAAGAAAAAATACTTGTCTCTTAAACTCGGCTTCCATCTCATTGTTTAATCTATGTTTCATCATACTAATTTATTTCTGTATATAGATTGTTAGAAATTGAACCAAATAATACAATTCATTAAGAACTCGCTACATGATGAAAATTAGGAAGAATCCCTTATAAACTTAGATAACTAATAAACAAACGCCCACGAATTTGTTTTTTTATTTAATGGACTCGGATAACGAACTTTCATTATTTAGTGCTGTTCGTTTATCACTCATATTCATCTAACATTATGCACAGCAAACACTTAATTATTTGTTGATCTGAACTTTAAGGCTTTGGGCGTTTATGTGAGCTATTGTACGTCTGATAATATTGATGAAAGGTAACATAGTTTGTGGCAAAAATGGTTGCAACATTTTATCTTCATAAGTAGTGATGTGAATTTTCTCAAATAACCCAGAAAGTAGCTACCATAGGTGCTGACACATGATTAGTATCAAATTTTTAAAAAACTAACACATTGGTAACTACTAGCCTACTTTGGCATATTATTGATCTAACAGATATTTACCATTATATGCTAGTGGAAAATACCTACTGGTAGCTACTAACTCATATCACTATTCAGAAGTATTTATTTTTTTTCTTTTAATTCCAAGTTAAGATCTGTATTAATTCTTTTTTTTTTTTAATATTTCACGAGCTTGCCTTTAAAATAGGTACATGTATTTTCAATCACTTCAATTAACCGGTCTATTCTCTATACCACTAATTATGACTTTAATAATTTTTCTGGTCAGTTAAATCTCTTATAATTCTTTTTCTCTAATTGTTAGCCTAATTTTTTTTTTTTTTTTCATAGGGCTTGATAGGCTTCAGCATTTCGCTAATACCCACCATTTTTTGCTTGTGCGCTATAATTGATAATGTGCAAAATAGATTTCTTATTTGGTGTTTCTATATGTAAGTAATATATATATAGACATGTAATACCTTTCATAACAAACCTTAAGAACTACAATATGATATAGAAAGTGTATAATGAGCTTCTAAGAAGCAGAATAAGTTTGTGTATACGTTTTTCAGATAGAGTTGATCACATATATTCTATTATTTTAATTGTTGGTATATATATATATTTATTTATTAAATATCTCATTCATCATCTAACAAACACTGGTTATCTAGCAGTAAAAACCGAATGGGCGAGTAAGTAAAATATTTTTATCAATTGATATGTTAATAACATATATTTTTCCCATTATCTAATATTTATCAAATTTACTTTAATATAGTTCGTAAGTATAAGATTATTTTATTAAATTATTAAATTCACCAAATTTACAATAAAATATATCTATTTAATTTCATTAATTAGTTTAGAGATTAGAACCGTTCAATAGTTTATTAGTTAACCGATCAATATTCAAGGTGATACAAAATCTAAAGTTGATTCTAAATTTTGATGCCCAATACTGTAATAAACTTGATATAATGCTTTATAATCAAATTTACCTGTATTCTCTCCCAGTTCCAGAATTGAATAGTATTTCTTTAATACTTATAATGTTTGAGAAGCAATCTTCGAAAGTCGATAATGTTAAATGCAATTGCGAAGTGTGTACATAAAAATTCATATTAAAATGTAAATAAAAAATATAACAATAATTTGCCCTAGTAGCTATAGTTGCTATTAAAATAGTTATTACTATTGACCCAAACTGGTTGTATTTGAAATTTTGTCTTATTGGATCCATTTCCTAAACCTTGGTTATCATTTTGGCCTTGACCTTCACCACTGTGTTTCTTATTCACACCATTGCCATTGGATCCATTTTCTAAACATTGGTTATCACCATTGCTATTAGATCTATTTCCTGAACCTTGGTTATCACCTTAGCCTTTTATGTAAATTTGGGACAGGTTAGGTTTCAAGATTTATATAGTTAATACCCTAGGTTTGAACAGCAACTATACTAGTAAACATAATTTGTGTTGCATCTCTCTTAATATGATAGATTAGTAATAGAGATTGCACGTAAGCACTACAATTAATTGAAATCCTTATAGTAATTTTGCTAAAAATTCTTGTAAAATGTGTATAGCCAATGAGTTCAAGATTTTTCATTACTTGACGTGGCGATTCAACTTCCGGAGTAAGAATACCCCAATTTTTCATAAATTTACACGTAGAGATTCATCTGATAAGTGAATATAATACAAATTCCTTCCGTGTGGTCACTCTCTACATATTGAATAAACCGAATTTTATGAGTTTTTGGATGGTAAAAAAAGATGTCTAACGATCTTGATAATGGACTCGCTTGATCGGCTAAGCTATTTTTCACCTATTAAAAACTGAGCTCCGAACTATTCAATTAGGTGCTTAAGAGCACTCTAATTTCCAAAACAATAACTTCTATCGAAATTTAAATTTATCTTTAAGATTGTTTGCTCATTTTTCTTGTAACCTTTGTCATTGCTGCTACAAAAACATTAAATCGAAATGCTGCTTCCAATGTAAGTAATAGTAATACGTAGTAATAGCTCAAGCTTAAGTTCTTCGGGTTACTAATTATTTTTGTAGGTCTCATTAATTTAACAATTAATTAATATCGATTATAATTGATTTGCAATATTAATAAATTATGATCAATTATTTTTAATTGATTGCATATTGATCAGCAACCAATAATGATTGTTATCGATTTTTCTAATTGATAGCAATCGCCTCTGCGGCTGGTAACTGATGTCCACCCTATTTAAAAATTTCCCGATGTATAAAGTGTATAATATTTTGAACATATAGTATATTTTTTATATTTAGTTAAGATACCTAAAGATTATTTTAAGATATACATAGATGTTGATAACTTACCAGCTTTGTTTATTTTAAAATATTGAAGTAAATAGCATATGTACTTTGTTAGTACTCTGTATCGGTATTGGGTATGTTGAATCTTTGCTGATATTTTATAACCCATAAGATTATCTAATTATTTGAACTATTTTTAAATTTAAAAGGTGGGTCAAAAACTTTAGGATCGAGTTCCAGTAAAATAAGTCAATAGTTTTATGTTTCTGTAAGTCTGTTAATAAATTGCTTGAAAAAGATGAATCATTAGGCTAATTAGACTTATTTGGCTTTTCATCTATAATTGTTATAGAAACATCTTTATCTAATGATTGATATATATCAAATAGTAGTTTATTTTCTAAAGGTTGATCAATATTTATCTCTTTATCTGATGTTATCTTAATAAATTTTCCTTTATTTGATTTTTTAGAAATTAATAATTTTTTATCAAAATCATCTTCTAGATATAAACTTATTATATTAACATTCCTATTAAAGCTATCTTTTTCTTCATTTTTACTAGTTGTACTATCTTCTTTACTTTTTGAATCATTGGTTTTATTATTTTTAGAACTACTGTTATTCAAATATCTACTTGAATCATCACTTTTGGTCAAAATGCTGATAGCGGTTCTTTCTTATTTTTTAAAATACTGCTATCTGAATATTTATTTTCTGAATCTTCACTTTCTGAACTATTGTGTTTTGGGGCTTCAAGAAGTAGTTCTTCTTTATATTTTCATTTAGTTAATAATCTCTCTACAGTTATAGTAGTTCTACCAATATCAGCTAGACTGATATGCTCTTGTTGCATTCTTTGATCAACAAATTTCCCATTATATTTTGGACAATAATATTGAACTTTTTTTATTTTGTGTTTGGAATTATCTTTGGATAATGGTATTTTTTATTTACTATTATATATTTAATATTGGGTTCAATGTTTTATTAAATTTTGGCAAAAAAAAGTATGATATATGTATCATTTTACCGCTGTTTTCGAAATAGTTGAGAATAGCAGGATCTATAAAAAAAAATTTTTTTTGATAAATACTCGATTAGTTAAGAACTTAGATCGATGATCGATTCCTGATTTATGTAATTGTTATTACAGAATTACAACGTAGCGATAGTGCTTTTTATTTTTGGCAGCTGCTTTTGTTTTGCGACTCTAACTAATTTTTTTTTTTATACACTTTGACTTTTAAACAGTAAACTGTCTTTCTTATTGTAGTCTCGAAAGGGGGTGTTTTCTATGCAAAGATTCTGTTACTTTTGAAATCCGTTGAGTCAAACAAAGATTCACTCTTCAAAGTCAAAAAATAGTCTTTCCGGATTGAGTTAAGTAGTGAATTTTTTTTTAAAAAAACTAATCTCTTTTGATTCAATAACAGCATATTTTAGATTTTTGACCCGGCTTAAAATAGAATTTTGGACTACCTTACAGTAAAGTATAAGTTGGAGGAATGACAGTATGGGTAACTAATTTTTTTTTATACACTTACAACAAAAGCATACTGATAAATAACTGCTTATTTTAAC